CTACTGTGGTGCAGTGGGTGTGCTGCCCGTGTGCATGTGCTGTGGGGAATCCCAGCTGTGTGCCGTGGGAGTCCTGCTGTGTGCCCGTGTGCTGTGGGAGCCCTGCTGTGGTGCAGTAAGAGTATGCCGTGGGCAGAGTGTGCTGTGGGGTCTGCTGTGTGGTGCAGTGGGAGTGCTGCCATGTGTCGTGTGCTGGGGAGTCCTGCTGTGGTGCAGTGGGGTACTGCCCGTGTGCTGTGGGGAGCCCTGCTGTGGTGCCGTGGGTGTGCTGCCCGTGTGCATGTGCTGTGGGAATCCAGCTGCATGCCGTGTGCAGTGGGGTCCTGCTGTAAGTGCAATGGGAGTACTGCCGTGAGCAGCGTGGGTCGACTTGTGTGCCGTGTGCTGTGGGAGCCCTGCCCTGGTGCAGTAGGAGTACTGCCGTGAGCCGTGTGCTGTAGGAGTCCTGCTGTGGTGCAGTAGGAGTACTGCCGTGAGCCGTGTGCTGTAGGAGTCCTGCTGTGGTGCAGTAGGAGGTAGTGCAGCGTGAGTCGGCTGTGCCGTGTGCTGTGGGAGCCCTGCCGTGTGCAGTGGTAGTCCTGCCGTGCCGTGTGCTGTGGGAGTCCTGCTGTGGTGCAGTAGGAGCACTGCCATGTGCGTGTGTTGTGGGAGTCCTGCTGTGGTGCAGTAGGAGTACTGCCGTGAGCCGTGTGGTCCTGCCGTGTGCTGTGGGGCCCTGCTGTGGTGCAGTAGGAGTCCTGCCGTGTGCTGTGGGGCCTGCTGTGATGCAGTAGGAGTCCTGCCGTGTCGTGCTGTGGAAGTCCTGCCATGTGCGTGTGGTGTGGGAGTCCTGCTGTGTGCCATGTGCTGTGGGAGCCTGCTGTGGTGCAGTAGGGGAGCCCTGCCGTGAGCCATGAGTCCTGCCGTGTGCTGTGGGAGCCTGCTGTGGTGCAGTAAGGAGTCCTGCCGTGAGCCGTGTGAGTCCTGCCGTGTGCTGTGGGAGCCCTGCTGTGGTGCAGTAGAGGTCCTGCCCGTGTGCCTGGGAGCCCTGCTGTGATGCAGTAGGAGTCCTGCGTGTGCTGTGGGAGTCCTGTGTGCGTGTGGTGTGAGTCCTGCTGTGTGCCATGTGCTGTGGGGCCCTGCTGTGGTGCAGTAGGGGTCTGCCGTGAGCCAGGTGGGTCCTGCCGTGTGTGCTGTGGGAGCCCTGCTGTGGTGCAGTAGGGTCCTGCCGTGTGCGTGTGCTGGGAGTCCTGCCGTACGTGTGGTGTGGGAGTCCTGCTGTGTGCCATGTGCTGTGGGAGTCCTGCTGTGGTGCAGTAGGAGTATGACGTGTGCGTGTGCTGTGGGAGTCCTGCTGTGGTGCAGTAGAAGTACTGCCGTGTGCTGTGGGAGCCCTGATGTGGTGCAGTAGGAGTACTGGTGTGTGTGTGTGCTGTGGGAGTCCTGCTGTGGTGCAGTAGGAGTACTGCATATGCTGTGGGAGTCCTGCTGTGGTGCAGTATGAGTACTGCTGTGTGCTGTGGGCGCCCTTGTGGTGCAGTAGGGTACTGCCGTGTGCATGTTCTGTGGGAGTCCTGCTGTGTGCTGTGGAGCCCTGCTGTGGTGCAGTATGGTACTGCTGTGTGCTGTGGGCCCTGCGGTGCAGTATAAGTACTGCTGTGTGCTGTGAGGCCCTGCAGTGTGCCGTGTGCTGTGGGAGACCTGCTGTGTGCGTGTGCTGTGGGTGCCCTGCTGTATGCCATGTGCTGTGGGAGCCCTGCTGTGTGTCATGTGCTGTGGGTGCCTGCTGTGTGCCATGTGCTGTGGGAGTCCTGCTGTGGTGCAGTAGAAGTACCAGTGAGCCGTGTGCTGTGGGAGTCCTGCTGTGTGCCGTGTGCTGTGGGTGCCCTGCTGTGTGCCATGTGGGAGTCCTGCTGTGTGCCGTGTGCTGTGGGAGCCCTGCTGTGTGTCGTGTGCTGTGGGAGCCTTGCTGTTGTGCAGTAGGAGTACTGCCGTGTGCTGTGGGTGCCCTGCTGTGCCATTGCCGTGGGAGTCCTGCTGTGTGCCGTGTGCTGTGGGAGCCCTGCTGTGTGTTGTGTGCTGTGGGGCCTGCTGTGGTGCAGTGAAGTACTGCCGTGAGCAGTGTGCTGTGGAAGTCCTGCTATGTGCCGTGTGCTGTGGGAGCCCTGCTGTGTGCCATGTGCTGTGGGGTCCTGCTGTGGTGCAGTAGAAGTACTACCGTGAGCCGTGTGCTGTGGAGATCCTGCTATGTGCCGTGTGCTGTGGGAGCCCTGCTGTGTGCCATGTGCTGTGGGGTCCGCTGTGTGCCGTGTGCTGTGAGCCCTGCTGTGTGTTTTGTGTCAGTGGGAGCCTTGCTGTTGTGCAGTAGGAGTACTGCCGTGAGCCGTGTGCTGTGGGAGCCTTGCTGTTGTGCAGTAGGAGTGCTGCCGTGTGCTGTGGGTGCCCTGCTGTGTGCCGTGTGCTGTGGGAGTCCTGCTGTGTGCCGTGTGCTGTGGGAGCCCTGCTGTGTGTTGTGTGCTGTGGGAGTCCTGCTGTGGTGCAGTAGAAGTACTGCCGTGAGCCGTGTGCTGTGGGAGTCCTGCTATGTGCCATGTGCTGTGGGAGTCCTGCTGTGTGCCGTGTGCTGTGGGAGCTCTGCTGTGGTGCAGTAGGAGTACTGCCGTGAGCCGTGTGCTGTGGGAGTCCTGCTATGCCATGTGCTGTGAGTCCTGCTGTGTGTGTGAGTCCTGCTGTGTGCACGTGTGCTGTGGGAGCCCTGCTGTGATGCAGTATGAGTGACTGCCGTTGTTACGCCGTCTCTTAATTTACTTAAATATCCAGGTTCTAGGCATAACCAAAGAAAAAAAGTGAAGTAAATTAAAGGAATACAAATTAATAAAGTAAACCTTTAAGAATTTATAATTAATTAAATATTAACACAATAAAGAGCCTCGTAGGCTATCACAACAAATTGATTCACCATCGACTTTTAAGACACAAATGATACTAAACATGAAACATCAAAAGAATAAAAATAAAGCAATGGATTATGTTAACACTGCATAAACATATAAAATAACTAACACTGAAATTAACTAACATGAAACAACACTGAATTACTTAAATGTAACTACAAATACTGATGGACATAAACAGAGACATAAATAGGTACTCACATAGATATACCACATTGGTGGCAACAGGAACAACACAAATAAATTAAGTATAAGTAACAGGTGGCAGAGTGTCACAGAAAGGATGTGAACTGTATGACAAGAGGACTGAACTAACTCCGTCAGTTGGTGGGTCCTATATATAAGGTCGGTTCCATACAGCGACCGCCGGTGGGTCGTTTAACGATGCAGATGGTCGTTAGAGAACAAAGAATGCTGGTTACAATACAAATGGGTTTGAACAAAAATAACAGTTAAAACCTTAACAGCTCAGGTGACTAGATTATATAATAGTAAATACAACAGCACAGGTGACTAGATTATATAATAGTAAATACAACACATCATTACAGGCATAATATGGAACATGGAAGCATGTTATATAAAAAAAATAGAAAAATCGACACGGTCAGTAACACCGTCAACCGTGTGCAGTGGGAGTCCTGCTGTGTGCCGTGTGCTGTGGGGCCCTGCCTGGTGCAGTAGGAGTACTGCGTGGGCCGTGTGCTGTAGGAGTCTGCTGGGTGCAGTAGAGTAATGCACGTGAGCCGTGTGCTGTAGGAGTCCTGCTGTGGTGCAGTAGGAGTACTGCCGTGAGCCGTGTGCGATGGGAGCCTGCTGTGGTGCAGTAGGGATACTGTATATACAGTAATACCTCGGTTCACGTGGTTCTCGTTTCAGACGATCATTCTGGCGGTACCTTGCCAGAAAGCAGGATGCCTGATTTACGGTGTTACTCATTTCACAGGGTGAATATAATTTGTTTCTTTACTGACAATATTTGTTTTAGCTCATAAAATTCATACAAATTACCCGGCCAAATATAATTTACACTGCTGGAATTCTTGTAAGATTGTGATTATTTTGGATATAAACATCATGGAATTTGCATTAAACATACAAATTTTAGATCTAATGTAAAATTTTGATTACAAACCAACATTTATTTTTTGTACAAAATATAACTTATATTCAAAATATTCCTGTCCCAAGGAATCCAGCAATGTCAAATATATTATCCTAACTTTAGTCAATTATTATTTATTACTAAAATGTAAACCTAAATTTTTCACCCAAACATTTCTCTAGTAGGAAGGGAAGATGGGGAGTAGGGAGGGAGGGAGGGAGGGAGGACCAGCGAGGGTGGGAGAAGAGGCGGAGGTGGGGTATTTTTTGACAGATAGTGTCTGGGTGAAGTATAATTTGTTTATTTACTGAAGATATTTGTTTTAGCTCATAAAGTCAAATCATACCTGGCCAGAATATAATTTACATTGATAGAATTCTTGTAGATGTGATTATTTTAATAAAACATCTAAATTTGCATTAACAATACAAATTTTATATCCTAAAAAATTTTGATTACAAAGCCAACATTTTATCTGTGCAAAATATCATGACGTTTATATTAAAAATATTCCTGGTCTTGCAAGGAGTCCAGCAATGTCAATATATTATCTAATTACAGTCTGGTATTATTTACTATATACCTTAAAATCTAGTGTTTACCAAACATTTCTCAGAGGGAGGAGCCAAAGGCATGGGAAGGGGAGCAATACGTAACTGG